AATTTAATTTGAAAGCAATTCTCACCCCCAGGATGATAATAAAACAAGTACCTAATGCTTAATAGTAAGTACTTGCTGATTTCTTATCCAAGAGCTGGAGGGAAGAAGGAGCTAAAGACTGTCTAGCAGCCTCTCTTTCCTCTAATTGTTGATTTTGGCAAAGGCCACGGTTAACTCACTAGCCATCAGGCGAACAGCATCTCAGACCCACTTGCAAGTCTATTTTAAGCTTCCTGTCTGGCACCACTGAGATTCTACTGGACCATCTCCATGTTGTCACAGCTAGCCTCCAATAACCCAAGAGTTTATATCATCCACCCATAAGAATACCAGCCCAATCTGGCTAAGCACTTGCTCATTTCCAGGTTTATTCTAGGGCAAGAAAATGACTATGTATTAAGGGTCTAATTCAGGTACTGACTTTCATTTTTGGTGTCACAAAAAGCATTGTGTTAACAAAAATAGGTATTTTTGCACAGTGCTTTCTTTGTACTGGAGTATTTGGGAAGCCCCCTCCTCCTTTCTCCTTGCCCGCCTTTACAAAAATCCTGGGTTGTTTGGTGCTGTTTTTCCACACCTTCCAATGTTAAAGTGTCAACAGGTGTTCTGGTGGCTAAAACAGTCTGTGAGGTCAGAGCAGCAAACCAACAGACCTGCTCTGGCCTTGGCCAGATGGCCATGTGATAAAAGGCGCACTTCTGAAGCATTACTTTGCCAACAAGGGTCCATCTGGTCAAGGCTATGGTTTTTCCAATGGTCATGTATGGATGTGAGAGTTGGACTGTGAAGAAAGCTGAGTGCTGAAAAATTGATGCTTTTGAACTATGGTGTTGGAGAAGACTCTTGAGAGTCCCTTGGACTGCAAGGAGATCCAACCAGTCCATCCTAAAGGAGATAGGTCCCGGGTGTTCATTGGAAGTACTGATGCTGAAGCTGAAACTCCAGTACTTTGGCCACCTCATGTGAAGAGTTGACTCATTGGAAAAGACCCTGATGCTGGAAGGGATTGGGGGCAGGAGGAGAAGGGGACGACAGAGGATGAGATGGCATCACCGACTCTATGGGCATGAGTTTGAGTCAACTCCGGGAGTTGGTGATGGACAGGGAGGCCTGGCATGCTTCGATTTATGGGGTCGCAAAGAGTCGGACATGACTGAGTGACTGAACTGAACTGAACTGAACTGAAGCAAGCCTATTCACTGGGTGACTAAAAGGAGCTCCATCTAGAGACAGGAGGAAAGCCAGGCCAGAGGGGAGACAAGGCTGAGATACTAAAGAACCTCCCCCAGTGGTTAAGTAGTTGGTTCCTGTGCAGAAGGACTATAACTTTATTTACAACATACATATCACAGAATCATATAACTTTGCAGCTAGAGAACAAAACTTACACCTCTAAATGACTTTATTGCAAAGCCATTGCTTTGGGGGATCCTTTATTCTGATTCCAAAAATACTTAGGCGTTGCCTTCAAGTCTCAGGACAAATTCTTTTGACTGTATTTAGTGGTGGCAAATATCAATTTTTTGAGAGTAGGTGTTATTTTCAGAAATAAGTTGTTCAAAACTAATATTACCAAGAGGGAATCAATACTGTTTTGGAATAAAAACCAAGGTACTAGTTATAGTAAAATAAGTTGGAGTTTCCTGTGCAGATCCAAAAACAATTTGAAAAGGTAATTTTTAAAGGGCTCTGAATAATGGCAATACTGGTGTGGAATAAGGTATATGCTACCAAGGTGATCTAAAGAGGTCATTGCTATGGCTATATATATATATCTTGGAGTCTCACGACTATTTTCACAATAGAAAAAGTTTTATAGACAGCAAACTAGCCTAGTGTAAACTTCATTTCTGAGTCCTCAGGCAGAAACTCTCAAAATAAAAATCCACTTACATTCAACTACCTGGTCTGTAAAGTAGGGGCTAAGAGGCAGTGACATTCCTCATGTAAATAAATCACCTTAACTTGATATCCTAAGGTTGTAAGACTCTCCACTCTATTAATAACAGCTTAGTATTTAGCTGTAGAATATATTCTACTTGAGTGTATTCATCTCCTACCTCCAGTCTTTAATAAAACAAACACACTCACCTGGACTTGTCTAGAATATTAATAATAGCTGATACTTAAACAGCCCTTACTACTTGCTTGTACTTACTCAGCATGATATATATATATATATATATATATATATAGCAACTCACTTAATACAAACCTGTGAGGGTAAAAAGTTTTTAAATGTTACTATTTTTATTCCTATCTCACATATGAAAGAACTGAGCCAGGAAGAAGTTGCCCAAGACCACATAGCAAGAGGCAGAGCTGGGACTGGAATTCAGGTAGTCTAGCTCCAGCTGTGTTCTTACTCACTCTGATATACCACCCTATACTGCCTCTATGAGACTATGAAAACATACATAAATCATTTATTCAACAGAATAAAAGACCATGAAAAAAAATACTTACCAACTTATGGGAAGTTCATTTGAGAAGTAAAAAAGAGGGGCTGATGTGAGGCAGATAGACCCATGTAAAATGAATGAAGGCCACATAAAAATAGCCACAAGAGTTCCGTGGGCAGCCTGGGGCTGGGCCAAAATATTCTCTATTTCAAGAATAGAGGAGGCAGATGGAAAGATCTAGGAGCTATAAAGAACCAGTTCCTGGCACTGTTTTGTGTCTATAAAATTTTTCCTTTATTACATAAAATCAGATAGTGCAAATTAACAAAACCAAAACTCCACAATACTGTTAATATGACAGCTTTTATAGCCTGCGCACATCACTTTGGGAATTTTATCGGCTAGTACGCAGATATGCTTAATAAGTCAGTTAACTGTTTTTAACAGTAGGCAGGGTAAGTGCAATGATCTACCAGATACCATCTCCAAAGAAGCTTTCAGAAGCCACTATCAATGACTCGGTTAATAAAGAGGGGATTACATGTGGACAGAAGCAAGTGAAGCAGTCCCGGCCATGTCTACCCTTTAACCAAGACTGCCAACGCCACCCCAATCCAGCTTACAGAAGTGGAAACTGAGTCTCACGGAGCGGAAGTGACTTGGATGATGGTCCTGACACAGAAAGTCCAGGGCTTTTCCCATTTTCGCATTGTGCGTTCTACCCTTTTCCTATTCACGGCAAATAAACACTGATTTCAAAGCCCTTCAGAAAACGTGGTGTGCCTACAATGCGGGAGACCCGGGTTCAATCCCTGGGTCGGGAAGATCTCCTGGAGAAGGAAATGGCAGCCCACTCCAGTACTCTTGCCTGGAAGAGTCCATGGATGGAGGAGCCTGGCAGGCTATACAGTCCATGGGGTCGCAAAGGGTCTGACACGACTGAGCGACTTCACTTTCTTTCTTTCAGAAAATGTGAGCACACACACCTACTCGACAGAGTCAAGAATTCTTTCACCACAACCTCCTCTGGCTGCTGTTCAGACCGCCTTTCTCTCCGTGGGCCCTGAGACGTGTCCAGAAAATGACAGAAAACATGCTCCAAAGTCAACGCTCCGAAAAGAATCCCATGAACCAGGCCTCAGATACACCGGGATTCTCTCATGCCTTGTTATTCCAGGTAGGGCCGTCTCTGGGAATTTAGCTTCCCGTTGGGAAGGGAGCCTCCCCTCGCAGCCTAAACCTACGAAGTCCCAGCCCACCCCCGTAAGGAGGGAAGAAGGCTCGCCGAGGTGCCGGGGCGTCGTGGAAGCCTGTCTGCGGGAAACGGCCGTTCACGAGCCCTGCCAGCTCGGGGACGCTCGTGCGGACCCCGTGCTTCCTCCCCCACGGCCCTTCAGTCAAGCCCGCGGCCGCGCGCAGCCCCGCCTCCACCCGGCTATAGCGGGTGCGGGAGCGGGCGCAGTCACGTGAGGCGGGCCCGCGGAGCCAATGGGCAGCTCACGCGGAGTGGATGGGCGTGGCTGACCCTCGTGACGTCACAAAGCGGGCGGGGAGCGCGCGGCTCTTCCGCCCCCACGCGCTGAGCCGCGGCCCGCTCTGCTGCGCCCCGCCCCTTCGCCACTGCGCACCCAATGGGAAGGCGGGAAGAGCTCGGGCCCGAACTCGCGGGCGGGGCAGGGCATCCTCCCCCTGCCGTGCCCGGTTCGTATTCCCTCACCCCAGCGCCGAGCCGCACCGTCCGGAATTCTCTTCCGCCCGCCCGAAGTTGTGAGGGGGGCGACCGGCGCGCGTGAGGAGACGAGCCTGGGGGCGCCAGGTGCGCGTTCGAGGCGCGTCGGGGCCGCGGCGGGCGTGACTGCGCCAGGGGGCTGCCCGCGGGGCTCCAGGTCCGGGGCGGGGCGGTGGGCCCGCTGGCCGCGCCCGGGGCGCCGTGAGGGCCGGCGCGAGGGTGGATTCCGGGGCAGGTGCGGCTCAGGTGGCGCGGAATCGCTTTGCCTGAGGATTCCCCGCCTCACACGCACACCCCGGTTCCAGGGTGACCCCGCGGGCAGACCTTCGGTTTTCAGGTCTGCGGCCGTCGCGGCGTGGGCGTGCGGAGGATGCCGCGCTCCCGTGAGCTCCGCGCCGGGGCTGGATGGACGGGCCGGTCCTGGGGCGCGCCTCCGCCGGCGTCCTGGCCCCCGCCGCCTCCAGCTGTAGCTCCGCGGCTCCCGAGGGGTGGGTTTGTTGGTTAGGTTTCCGCCCTCCTCCCCACCTCCTGTCTTGCGCCTCCATCCTCTTTCCCCAACCCCACCCCACCCCACCCCACCTCCTAGCCCCATTCACCCGGCTGCAGCGAAACCTCGCCCCTCCTCCTCTCGCGCCTCCCCTGCCGACGCCTCCTCTAACGAGCATCTCTGCCTTGCTTTTCAATGGGCCGGTGCCGCTGTCGCTGCTGCTCTCCGCGCGGGTTGTGGATGTTGTCGGCTCCGTGTTGTGATGACAGGAGAATGTGTGTGTGTCCCGGGCCCAGACGAATTGGTAGGTATTCCCTTAACTACCTGGCTTTGGGTACCCAGGAAGGATGATGACTGATTTTGCGTGTGGATGGTCTTAGGTGGGTCTGTGTGGAATGAAGAGGTGAGGTAGGTAGAAAAGGGGGGTGGGTACAAAGGGATCCTGCACCAGGATAGCAGTTGATGCCTTAAGTGAGTGCCATTTTCAGGTAGGGTACAAAGGAAACTGATCAAACAAGTGCTGACTTGGGGCTTCGGAGTCTTAGAAAGGCAGCCGGTTTCTTCATTCATGTAGAGATAACAGGAGCTATGAAATGGCTAAGCATTGCCCCAAAATTCTGAAAAATCGCAGAGTCTTTATGCAGGGTGTTTAATGCAATCGGATTACATAAACTGGGGTTCTGACACATTTAATGATTAGTATAGCTTTTTTTTTTTTTTTTTTTCATTTACACCAAAAGCTTTGCAGAGCTAAAGAGCTCTGGAGTCGGGGCAGTAATTGCATTGTCTAATTAGTTTGTTCTGAGAGTTTATTGATAAAGTGGAATCATTTCCTGGCACAAGCCCTGCAGAGTACATCAGTAAGAATGGATGGGTCTCTTTCCTGTTTCTCCTTACAGCTCATCTTGCCTTATTAGTCACTAGCAAAATCTGCCTAAGACTAAGATGCTGTACCTAAGGTGGCTAAGTCTGGATCATGGGATGGGAATTTTTAAGTGAAATTGTGGCCAGAAATAACTTGAAAATTTGACAGTGCTTCAGTTTACCACAACTGTACCTTGCTGCTGTTCTTACTGCTGCATCAGAACCCTTTAACTTTGTTAATTTAGCAAGTTGTCAACAAGAGTTTTGATTTCATGGAGTTTTGTTGTTGAATCACAGGATATTCAGAAGTATACTCAAGAGTTTTTTGAATGTTCACTTATGGTTTATGAAAGCATTCGAAAGTACATTGACTTCTAGGAGTAACTGGTCTGATGAAGAGACTATGTCACTTGTACTGGTGGTGAACAAATGCTCCTTAATCACAGAGTAGGTAACTTCCCTAGGAATTTGACTTTTAGAGGCATGTTGGGAGTCTCAGTCCATATGCTAAACCCCTGAGTAATTGAAGGATCGAGTTAATAAAATTGACTCTGCTTTTTTTTTTTAATCTTGAGAATTTATGCCTGAAGGGAAAATGTATGTTACTTGAGTGCCTGGTGTTTGAATTTACGTATTCAAAGCATCTGCTGCATGAATCAGTTCTTTTGCCAAAATAGTTCATTTTGCAGTCAATTAGAAAAGCAGGAGGATTGTCAAAACAAAGGAATTTAAGAAAAGTGTGCGTTTCCCGGTCTTGTTATTTCTTCATCAGATGTCATATAGCCCAGTTCTGTTACACATCTGTCTCTCAAACCCTGCCTCCAAACACAAACAGTACTTTGATTGAATCTACATTCCATACAAAAACACAGGTATTTTTTGTCCTCTAAAATTCTTACATGTTAAAGTAAGCTTAAATGCAGACATATATAAACTTACAGAGAAAATTTATTTTCATGAAAGTTGGTATGTTTACATTTTTAATAATAGAAATAATCTTCATACAAAGTATGAAATGAGTCCATGTGCTTTCTGCATACAAACCTAGCAAGAGATATGGTTCATATCTGAAAGCCAGTATCATGTGGCCCAGTGTTTTAGCACATCTCCTGGCTCAGTCATGTACACTTAACCTTTGGATGACTTTCAGGTATTCAGTTTGAAGTGCTGTTATTTAAGTGGTTGTTCTTGATAGATTCCTGTTTTTCTGGAACTTCTGTCTTTCATGACTGCCTTTCAGATGTTATTTAGTTATTGCTCTTATTTCCAGAATTCTATTCATTACCTTCTCTTGCCTAATCTTGCTTTCAATTTTGTAAACAAATTTCTTCTTAAATAATGTAGTTAAAATAATGGTACATTCTATCACATGCAAAAGAGGTTCTATATAACTTGCTTACACAGTGCTTGTACCGAAGCAAATTCAGTGTTTGCTCCCTGCATTCCACTTATCATTTTTCTAACTGTTTTTCAAAAGAGGGTATGTGAAAATAATGTAATAATATAGCTAATACTCTATGATATTTGTAAAATTTTTTCTTAATGTGTTCAACCTTAGGAAGAAATAGTTGATATTAAGGCTCAGATGATTTTCTATTCCTTATTCCTTTTTGTTTATTGCATTTGTTAACTTATTTAAGATACTTCTAAAGCCTATTTGTTTATAGGCCAGGTGAATACTTTGAGACAATACCTCAAGAATTCAGGGGAAATATGTGTTACAAGAGGGATTCTTTTCTTGTATACATTACCTGGCTTAATGGTACATGTTTATTACGTTTTCTAGATAAATGCTCATCAAAATATTTTCAGTGTTCCACTTCCAGATGTAAGTGGTACGATTTTCGTTTTTTCACAAGTATAATGCTCTACCTTTCTAAGCCAAACCTTAGTCCATTAGACTACTGTTTCACTGTTTATTAATTTCCAAGGGCAAATAGGTAACCATTTTTTAAAATGTAAGAGAATAGTTTTCTAGGGGTAAATTCTACTTGGGGTCTGTAATAGATGAAGATCATATTTCTGTAGCTTTCTTTTACGGCTGATAGGCAGAGGAGAATACTAACAAGTAAATTGAGTTCCAGAACTGAGACCATTTATGTTACTAACAAAGTTTTAGAGCTACTAAAATACTTGCTTTTTTTTTTTTAATCACACAAAATACAGTAAAATTAATGAATAAATGAAACCTGCCCGCTTTTCCAGGATTATTTGGTGACTTGGTGGCAGACCTGTGTCCCTAAACTTGCCAAATCGGCACAGTGGTCTGGAGAAGCATTGTTTGCAAGACCATCTCCTGGATACAAGGAGGGCATTTTGGAACTTCTATTTTTACCCATTATGTAAGATTTTTCTTGTACGTGTTAATTATAGTAACATATGTATATATTGTACCAATAATTCATGAATACACACAGGTTGAGGCTGCATCCCAACACGTTTATGGTGATACCCAGGTGTATCAAGTGCTAACCATTGAACATGGCTCTAGAAACAGGATCTTCATAAATGGGAAAAGTCCCTGTGCAATATGGGAGACCCATGGCCTTTTTTAAGGATAAAGAGAAGGGTAATTGGCCAGGTCGACTGCCACTGCATAATGTTATATAACCTTCATCTCCTCCGCTCTTCCCAGCCAGATCTGTTGTACATTCTGCCCAGTTTGTGCTGCATAAAGAAATACAAAGAGAAAAGTAAAGCTAGAAGACAGTTTGCTCCTGGCTCCATTAAGTAATCAAGTGCGCTTGGCAGAGATCCTGTAGAGATAGTACATGGTATGTGTGTAAAATATAGTACCTTAGGAGGCACAGGGCACTTGTAAATTTACCTGCTAAATATCTGTTAGGAAAGCAAAAATAGATTAAGTAATCTGAATGTAACTTTTTTCTTTGTGCTTACCTGTGAAATTGCTGTCTAGGAATCCCAGTCAGAAGTTCCAGCTTGCCACTGTTCTCTGATGCCATGCCAGCACCAACTCAACTGTTTTTCCCTCTGATTCGTAACTGTGAACTGAGCAGAATCTATGGCACTGCGTGTTACTGCCACCACAAACATCTCTGCTGCTCACCCCCTTATATTCCACAGAGTCGCCCAAGATACACACCCCATCCGGCGTATGCTACCTTTTACAGGCCAAAGGAGAGCTGGTGGCAGTACACCCAAGGAAGGAGATATGCTTCCACGCCGCAGAAGTTTTACCTCACACCTCCCCAAGTCAATAGCATCCTGAAAGCTAATGAGTACAGTTTCAAAGTGCCAGAATTTGATGGCAAAAATGTCAGTTCTGTCCTTGGATTTGACAGCAATCAGCTGCCCGCAAATGCACCCATTGAGGACCGGAGAAGTGCAGCAACCTGCTTGCAGACCAGAGGGATGCTTTTGGGGGTTTTCGATGGCCACGCAGGCTGTGCTTGCTCCCAGGCAGTTAGTGAAAGACTCTTTTATTATATTGCTGTCTCTTTGTTACCCCATGAGACTTTGCTGGAGATCGAAAATGCCGTGGAGAGCGGTCGAGCCCTACTACCCATTCTCCAGTGGCACAAACACCCCAACGATTACTTCAGTAAGGAGGCGTCCAAGTTATATTTCAACAGCTTGAGGACTTACTGGCAAGAGCTTATTGACCTCAACACTGGGGAGTCGGCTGATATTGATGTTAAGGAGGCTTTGATTAATGCTTTCAAAAGGCTTGATAATGACATCTCCTTGGAGGCTCAAGTCGGTGATCCCAATTCTTTCCTCAACTACCTGGTGCTTCGAGTGGCATTTTCTGGGGCCACAGCTTGCGTGGCCCACGTGGATGGCGTTGACCTTCATGTGGCCAACACTGGCGATAGCAGAGCCATGCTGGGGGTGCAGGAAGAGGACGGCTCTTGGTCAGCAGTCACGCTGTCTAATGACCACAATGCTCAGAATGAGAGAGAAGTGGAACGGCTGAAACTGGAGCACCCAAAGAACGAGGCCAAGAGTGTGGTGAAACAGGATCGGCTGCTTGGCTTGCTGATGCCTTTTCGGGCTTTTGGAGATGTCAAGTTCAAATGGAGCATTGACCTTCAGAAGAGAGTGATAGAATCTGGCCCAGACCAGTTGAATGACAATGAGTACACCAAGTTCATCCCTCCTAATTATTACACACCTCCTTATCTCACTGCTGAACCAGAAGTAACTTACCACCGATTAAGGCCACAGGATAAATTTCTGGTACTGGCAACTGATGGGCTGTGGGAGACAATGCACAGGCAGGATGTGGTTAGAATTGTGGGTGAGTACCTAACAGGCATGCATCACCAGCAGCCAATAGCCGTTGGTGGCTATAAGGTGACTCTGGGGCAGATGCATGGCCTTTTAACAGAACGGAGAGCTAAGATGTCATCAGTGTTTGAGGACCAGAATGCAGCAACCCACCTTATTCGCCATGCTGTGGGCAACAATGAGTTTGGGGCTGTTGATCATGAGCGCCTTTCCAAAATGCTTAGTCTTCCCGAAGAGCTTGCTCGGATGTACAGAGATGACATTACAATCATTGTAGTTCAGTTCAATTCTCATGTTGTAGGAGCATATCAAAACCAGGAACAGTGAGTGGGTCTTACCAAGGCGATTCTCAAATAGATTTAAAGGGCAGATAGTTTTTTTTTTTTTTTAAAAGATAATACTATAGTAAATATTATCAGTGGGTCATTCTCAGCATTTCTCTTTGATACTCTAGTCTGCCGGGTAGTCCAAATTCACTTTGTAGCAGAGTGATCCTGAGAGTCTTGTTCGGCTTAGTTTGGACCTCACAGCACCTGCAAGTTGAGGCCTATCAGTTTCTTGACCACAGATGGCTTAGGACATTGGCTGCTTTTATCAGTCTGAGAAAATCAGGATGACCTGGCAAACAGGGTTTTGAGTAGGCCCAAAGCAAGGAACTGCTGGGCATATTCTTTTGGTAAAATGAAGAAACATTACTGTTCACACCTGCAGACCCCTTTCATCACCAAGATTCCAGTGTACGTGAGAACATATATTTATTGCATGATTTCCTAGATGTATAACCTGTGCATTATTCATGAACTTTATTTTAACCCAAAGTAGTTTTCAAATCCACTACTTTAAGCCATAAAGGACTGAGAACCAGGCAATTTGAATTTGTCAGTGTGTGTGATCATTTGACTTGGAATGCTTCTTAATGAGAAAACAAACACTATCCCTTATCCCGATTACCTAATGTAGTTGGAACATTTTCTATTTTGCCAAGCAGTTGAAGACAATAAAGGTGTTTTATCTTCTCTTATTGGTGTTAAATAAAGGGGAAAAAAAGTCTTAGTTTATACTAATGAAAAGCTTTATTTAGTTTGAAATAAAAGATCCATAATGAAGGGAAGAGACTGATATGGTCGTCTGCATCCACCAGCACATTACTCTTATCATGTAAACCCCTGAAGTGTGGCATGCTCTAAGTGTGTGGTGGGTAGACTGCTGCTGAGAAATCATACTTCTAATTAAGTAGTGGTAAGAATTTTTGTCATGTTTGGAATTTTAAGGATGACATATTAAAAAAAATTTACATAATTTGGGGGAGTAAAGTTTAAATATTACCTTCAGGTGTTGAGATGAAGTTTTTTGTTGTTGTTTTTCCCCACTTAGGTGTAGGTCAATTTAAATAATTGGTTTAAAGATTACTAAATGCTTTAAACATATTGTAGCTTATAAATAGAAATGTTAAGGTACATACATGAGAAATTCTTTAACTATTGTGCATGCCTGATGCTTAATGGGACACTTAATAGCATCAAATATTGTTTGCAGCAGTCTCCGTAATTATATGCAGACCCTTCCAACGCTGTATCAAAGTAAATGAAAATAAATATATTCAGATTGGCTTTTGGGGAGCTTATTTGATATGCATCAAATGGTGTTTTGTTCTTGTGTTTAATGGTGATTCGTGTACAGCTGTGCATATATATCATCACTTATTCTAGCATCACTGTTAAAAGAATGGCTATGACTATGTTCAATTTTCACATAAGTTTTAATACAGAACATGATCCGTTTTCCCTTGTGTAATTAGTTGAGGGGTGTTTAGGAGTCCTCGCAGATTTCTGTAGAATACTGAACTAGATATTCAAGGACTCTGGACTGTGGACACCGAAGCAAGGTAGAATTGGCTGCAGAATTTATTCCAATTGAAAATAGACTCTGGAAGATTGCCGCTTACAAGACCATATAATGATTGTTTTCTGAGGTCTTTCCCCCACCCCCACCTTTTTTCCCTCCTTGGGTCACCTTGGAAATTTTCTCCCAGCTGGTATTTTGGAGGGGGAAAAGCTATTATACTATATACTTATTTATAAATGATTTGACAGAGACTTCATTTTTTAATGGAATGTATGTAGAATACAGTAGCAGTTAAAACTCATTTTCAGGCTACTATTTGAATATCTCTTGAACACCTTTACTAAAGAGTTCCATATTATACTTTAATGTCTCATCTCAATATAGTACAGTATATATAAATTTGGTTTCTTTTGGTCATGATCAAGATAGTAATTATTATTACACAAGAAACTTTGTTCTTATTACACAAAAAACTTGGTCTGCGGTCTAAAAGCTGGTTGTGTTAAGTCTGTAGTATTAACAGTGTGGAAATGAAAATAATTGGATGTTACTTTGAATGTATTATCATCTCAAGTTTTGATTTTATTGTAATTGGTTGTCACTGTGATGTGATACCTAGAATTAAAGAATACATGTAAACTTTCATTGTATTCAGCCTTTCTTAAGCATTTTTAATTTATACTTTCTAACGTGTCATTTTCTGTATTTAGTCAGTGGCTCATGGTATTTATAATATGTCCTTAGCTAGTTAAATGCAATGGTGTTATGGTACACAGTACTTGGAGGGAAAAAATGTCTTATAAAAGATTTATCTGTGTGAAGAAATGTGAAAAGTTTATGTATTATATAGTGAATAGTCAGAAATGCCCACAGTGAATTAAAGCTTCGTATCTGCTTTGTGAATGAACGACCTGTGTTGTTTTTTAATTAATAGGCTCATTAGATGCTTTCTATGGTGATAGGTTATACTTAACTTTAGGATCCTCTAGATAGATAGTACTTTTAAAAAAACTGGGGTATACTTTACATTCAATAAAATGCACAGATTTTAAATGTGTAATTTGAGATTTGGTAACCACAACCCCAGTAAAGATACAGGACTTTTGCATTACTCCAGCAGAAAATTCCCTCATGCCCCTTTCTGGTTAATCCTTCCCCATAGAACTGTTGTTCTGACTTCTGTCACCATAAATTAGTGTTACTTGTTCTAGAAATTCATATAAATGAAATCATGTAATATGTACTCTTTCGTATATGACTTTTCATTTTTTTTGAGATTCACTTATGTTGAGTGTATGCAGTCTCCTCCTTACTACCAAGTAGCATTCCATAGTATTAATAGAGCAGTTTATCTACTGCTGATGGGCATCATCAGCCCCTTCTTCTCCCCCATAAAAGCTAACTTAGGTTATCAATTCCCAGGGATATTATTTGATTGAAGTATAGATTTAACATCAGAAACATGATTGCAAACAAGTTTATGTTCCATACCTTAATGGTAGGACTTTTTAAAAAATGCCCTTTAAACAAGCAATGAAAATGAAACTTGGTGAAAAATTTAGGGGAATTGGAGAGCATTCCTTCGCTAATGACTTCTCTGTACCTCTCCCACTGATAACTTTATTGAGTTAAAAGTTCATTAACTGATTGAGCTAATGACTATCCTATAAAAAATAGACAAATTATACCTTGGTTTTTCCTGTTTGTTTGCTTTTCTTTTTTTCTTTGTTTATCTTTAATTGAAGGATAATTACAGTATTGTGTTGGTTTCTGCCATACATCAACATGGATCAGCTATAGATATATATATATGTCCCCTCCAGTTTTTGATGGTCTTGGTTTATTACTCCCATCAGCCATAGCTAGGATTGGGATGGGAAAGGAAGTGGAGTAAATGCTGACTGTTAAATTGGGACTAGAATAATGTAACTCACTTGAATATCTCAGCTTTTTAAAAAAATTAATTCTTAGACCAAGATTTCCTGCTCACTAGTCAAACACATGCCTGAATATGCGTTATCGTTAGCTTTGTCTTTGGGTGTAGTAAGAGGGTCTAGACAACTGCTATCCTTAGTCTGTTCGTTAACATACCTTAATTCTGACCTTTTTCATAAATAATAAAACAACTACTATTTACTGTAGCTAAGACCTGGACATGCTGGGTAAATGGTACCTAAATAAACTTGTTACAGTATGAAGGTCACTTTTTGTTCCTTTCAGAAGTAACTTTGAAAGCCAAGCTTAATCCTGTTAAATCCAGCCAGCCTGGTTCTTATGGCAAAATTTATACCGTGGATTGAATCCTAGCAGTATGCAGCATTGTCTTCTAAATAGCTTTCAAATTTTAAGTCTTCAAAGTAAATATATCAAGAATGATGAAATTCACACATTTCATGTTCCATTAATAATCATTATTCAATGCATATACTCTAAGGACCACACAATTTAGGCTCAGTAATGTAGCCAATATTTAGGTTCCTAAAATATATACATGTCTGGTTTTAAATTGTTCTAATAATTTTTTAACTTTAACTTGTTTGTCCATCAGGGTTTTCAATTAAGGTCAGGGCCTGTGGATTTTGTTTGTCTTTCTGAGCCAACACAATATTGAATAAAGAATGTTCTGCATCTACTTTATTTTACATTAGAGATGTATAATCAATTTTAAAAGAAGCCTAAGTGAACTTTAAGAAGTTCTCTTCTTCGTTTGTCAGAAGTTAACATCTCAATCTAGATGTAGAGAAGTAATTTATTCCAGTAATTTCAGTTTTGTTTTATAGGTAAAAACCAATGATTTCTAAAACTTGAACTAGTTCCCTGTTGCAAAGAATATTCAAAAGAAAAAATTAAAGTACCAGGGTACAGATAGGCCCATCACGAGTTTAGCCCTCTAGAGGAGAAGGCTTCCTGTGTTCACTGGAAGAGGCCTCAAAAACTCAATTTTCAAATGAGTCAATTGGACCCCCAAAGTCAGCTTATTTCCCCCAGTAAAACTTTGCAAATGGTCCCCATCTAACCCTTGTCCCCTCTCCCAGCTCCTTTTACACAGGTTGGGGGAAGTGTTCCTTTGAGGATCTGCCAAGCACTTTAGCAGCTGTTTGGAAGTACCTGGTACCTAGCTCCAAAATAACTCAGTATTTCATGTTGGTTCACCGTCATACTCTGAGGGGTGTTTAAGACTCTGTCCTTAAGAATCACACCTCTCTGCTTTTCTAAGCTATACCAAGGTCACTGACTCACTTTCTGTCTTCAGCACACACTCAACCAAACTGAACACTCAGACTACTAAAGTGCATGGAGGTTCCTGGAGAAGGAAATGACAACCCACTCTAGTATTCTTGCCTGGAAAATCCCACGGACAGAGGAGCCTGACCATGTTGCAAAGAGGCGGACATGACTGAAGCGCCTTAGCATGCACGGGTGCAAGGAGGTTAGTCATCACATTCAGCCCTTTAGAAACCTCACACCTGGAGTGCGAAGCCACACCAAGCAGCCAAGAAGAGTCAAAGAACCAAAGATTTTTATCTTCACCTGTGGTGATTTAATCAGTCCATCTCCTTGAGTGACAAGACCAATTCGATTGGCTGGCAGTGTTGACTGAGAGGCCAGCCTTGAAGCATGAAAACTGAGAAGAGTGGGAAATGTGAAACAAGATCTAAGGGGAGAAAAAAGGAAAGGTGAGGAAAGAGGGGCGTGATTAGAGGCAGTGAAGGGGGCAAGGAGCATCAGATCGTCTGACACTCTGGACCAGTGACGGGGACAGAAGCAAAATGGGAAGGACTGCAGGCAGCCAAATAGTGGTGAGGTAAGGGAGTTTAAAAACATTTTTAAGCCCTTATGAAACCATGGATTTTATGCTTGGGGTGCAGCAGTTGGAGTGCAAAGCAGTTTCCATTAGCGTGACCATTTCGTCTTGGCTCATTAGATAAGAGGGACAAAGCAAAGTCTTAGGCCTTATGTAAGGGAATCTGTGGTACCCAGATGGACAGATTTCTCAAAAGAACTTTGCTCAGAAATTAATTTTTCTTGCTCCAAATCTGGGGACAGGTTTAACAGTCTAATTTCACCTGATGAAAACAGAAACTAGATAGTTAAAGCTCTGGTGTTCGCAGACCAGAGAGAGTGCATTACTAACCCAAGCCTCATGACTTGCTTAGAGGGGCAAAGATAGCCTCAGGTATAACCAGAAACTCCAGTGACCCTGCAGGCTTAGTGATACTAACAATAACCACAATCACTCTTTGTGGAGCAGTTGCTATGTGCCAGGTCCTGTGGAAAGCATACTGTATATTTTCTCATTTAATCCTGTGCTGCTGGTCTCGTCTGGTTCTTCAGCCCCTTCACTAAACCCTCTGTGCCCTGCTCTGCGCGCCTGGAAGCCCAGCTCTCCAGCTGCACTGCCAGGCTCTCGTCTCCTGATTCCCATTCCATTCAGCCCACAGGCAGCACCCGCAGGTGAGATGAGAGAGATGCTGGGAAGTGTCTTCCTCGTTCTCCCCACACTTCAGGCTGCTCCTCCAGCCTTAGCCGTGCCTGTGGCTCCGCAGCCCCTCTTCCACAATTCTGCTTCTGGGTGGGCTCTTCGTCCCTTTCACCTTTCAGCTTTAGGGATGCTAATGGCTTCCTACTGCTGCTCGTCTCTGGGTGCCTCAACAACCCTTGTTTGTTTCCTCATCCTTGCTCGCACCTCTGTGAGTAATCCATTCATTTGAGTAACGGACGGGGAAATCCCTTTCCTGCCAGGACCTGACCAATATGATCCTTAAACTGAAGTATTATTTCCCCTATTTTACCTAACACAAAGAGGTGAGGCAGCTCATCCCTCATCACCCAGCGAACAAAGCCATATGTGGACATTCCAAAGTTCTGTGTGTTTAATCCCCACATCACACAGCCTGGTCTCTCCGTATAACCAGGGTGATCCCTTTGGAACTGAAAAGACTTGAGGGCTGTCAAATGGCCGATAGCCAAGTGAGCCCTTGGAAAGCAGAGACAAAGATGCTCAGAAGCAGCAGCAAGCCCCGCTGTAGCCGAGCAGTTAGTCTTAACACGTAGAGGAATGGAGCCACCCACAGAGTGTGCCAAGCGGGGACAGGATCAGCCACGTGTGGGGGTGTCCAAGTATGCAGTTCCTCAGCTCCCCAGTTCACGTGCTGAAATCTCCATGGTGGGAGGTGAGGTAGAAAGACACGAGCCACAGAGACAGCCTTAGGTGTATATACATTAGAGCCTTGAATGAGGAGGGGACAGGGGCCCCAATCCTCCCAGCATGGTAGAAAATTCAGTATAAATTATAGTCAGCCCTTTATATACTCAGTTCACCTGCATCTACCCAGATCTGTGATTCCACGTCTACAGAGTTAACCAACCACAGATCAAGTAGCACTGTATTATTTACTACTGAAAAAAATCCACATATAAGTGGACTTGGGAAGTTCAAACCCTTGTTGTTCAAGGGTCAGCTGTACACAGTGACTGCAGCATCCTTGCAGCTAGCATACACTTCGAACTACTGGAGAAGGTGAAGACTAACTGAGCAAAGCATGGGCTGTTAGAGTTGGTAGGGGCAGGACTGGGAGAAAGGAGTAAACCGAGGTGAGCCCCAGCCAGAGCCAGAGCCAGGCTGAAATTTGGCTTCTAGCCAGTCAGGTGGGAGACTTGACTAATTCTAGCTGAGGAAGGGCTGGTGGTTAGGTAAGAGACATCTGTGTGATTTACATATTTCCATTAGTCATTCATGTCTGTATACTCACATTTAATAAACTGATAACGTTTAATTCAAACACAGTCAATATTCTCTCTCGATTCCTTTCTTACCGTAGTACATGACCACTGAGCTCTGCTCAGGTATGGGGTAACTTGACAGCTGAACTTGAGTGACCTAATCAGTCACTCATCAAAGTCTTG